ATACTCTCACAGTTAGAGGGTAGATTTAAACATTATATAATTGTATTATGTACAAAATGGATTAAAAACTCCAGAAGAAACAGATTGCCGGATTAGTTAAAATAAAAATTAACAAAATGCAATTATAAGAGAAATAAAATACAAAGATACATAAAAGATGACAGTAAGCAGATAAAAAAAGATATATCACATATACAATAAAAAGAATGATGCTATAGTAATATTAGTATCAGGCAAAATAGACTTTAAGGCAAAAACAATTAACAAAGATAAAGAAGACACTTCATAATGATAAAATATCCAATTTACCAGAAAGATATAACAATTCTAACTTTGTTTTTACCTAAGAACACAGCTTCAAAATACATAAAGCAAAAATTAAAAAACTAAGACACAGACAGATCTGTACTCACAGTGGGAGACTTAAAAAAATATTTCTCAGTAACTGATAGAATAAGCTGACAATCAGCAAGAAGATAGACTTCAGCAACATAATTAACAAACCTGACATATCTAGAACAGCACTCAGTACCTATATACCACACATTTTTCCAAGTGCACACAGAATATTTACAAAAATTGGCCAGGTGGCAAAGCAAATTTCAAGAAACCTGCAAAGAGTGAAATCATACAGAGAATGTTTTCTGACCACAGTAGAACTTAAAACAACAAGGTTATTAGAAAATCCCCATATGGTACAAAATTAAGGAAAATACCTCCAAATAACCTGAGGGCCAAAGACATCACAATGGAAATGAGCAAATACTTTGAACTCAATAATTATGAAGGTGTTACATAAAAAAAGTATGGCAGGGCTTCCCTGGTGGCGCAGTGGTTGAGAGTCCTCCTGCCGATGCAGGGGACACGGGTTCGTGCCCCAGTCCGGGAGGATCCCACATGCTGTGGAGCGGCTAGGCCTGTGAGCCAGGGCCGCCGAGCCTGCATGTCCAGAGGCTGTGCTCCGCAATGGGAGAGGCCACAACTGTGAGAGGCCTGCATACCGCAAAAAAAAAAAAAAAAAAAAAAGTATGACAGTCTTGATAGCCTTAAATACATTAGCAAAAAAGAATGGCTAAAATCAATAAGTATCCAACTCAAGAAGTTAGAAAAGATCAGCAAATTAAACCCTAAGAAGGTAAAAATAATGAAAGAGAAGAAAGTAATGAAACAGAAATCAAAGACACAGTAGCAAGGATTAAAAATTATTTTTTAAAAGCCAAATAAGATTGATAAATCCTAGCAAGACTGATTAAGATAAAAGAGAGAAGACAAAAAATTTAGTATCAGGAATGAAAAAGGAGACATCCCTTCAGATCCATATAGTCATTTAAAAGATAAACAGAGGATAGTATGCCCCTAAATTTAAATTTTATATTAAGTAGATCAATTCTTAGACAAACACAACTTATTAAACTGAAACAAAAAGAAATAGGAAATATGAATAGTCCTACAACTACAAAAGTAATAGAAGCTGTAATTAAACACCTTCCTCAATAAAAGCTTTAGGCCAACATGGTTTCCCCGGTGAATTCCGTGAAATTTCTAACTTCCTCTCTCTCACAACTCTTTTCTTTTTTCTTTTTCTTTTTTAAATATTTATTTATTTATTTGGTTGCACTGGGTCTTAGTTGCGGCATGCATGTGGGCTCTAGTTCCCTGACCAGGGATCGAACCCGGGCCCCCTGCATTGGGAACATAGTGTCTTATCCACTGTGCCACCAGGGAAGTCCCTCACAACTCCTTCTTGTCCTCACTGTAAGCTGATGGCCTTGCTTTGTATTTTATTGAGAATAAAGAAGCTATCATCATAGGATGTCTCAATCTTCTCACCACCAGTTGACCTATATCTGCTCCCATCTTCTCCATCCTGCCTAGTGTTACTGCAGAAGAGGTGGCCTCCCTGCCTATCAAGGGTAAATCTCTCCTTTTCCATTCGTGATTTTATCCCTTTTCACTTTCTCAGACACTTTAGTTCTCCAGTGACCCTACCTTTGTCTTGCAACATCAATTTCTCCCTCTCCACTGGAACATCATTGCTACCAGCACTTAAGCACGTCAGAAAAGCTTCCATCTCAAAAATAAAAGTTTTCTTTTTTTATTTCTTCTTTCTTCCAGCCACTGCCCCATTTCTCCTTCCCTCTTCATGTGGAGGGGGGCTTTCTCTAGAGAGCCATCGAAACTATCTCCAATGTCTACCTTTCACTCACTCTCTAAAAATACATATATAATATCTGAGATATAAAAATAATATATGTAACACATGTGCAAGTTATGGATGGCATCACAATAAAATAAATATGCAAATGATCTAGAATCCATTATTCCTTTCCATCTCCACCATCACTCTAATCAAAGTTACTGTAGTCTCTTGCCTAGACTATTTTTTTAATTAAAAAAATGTTTTTTGGCTGTGTTGGGTCTTTGTTGTGGCGCGGGCTTTCTCTAGTTGCAGTGAGTGGGGGCCACTCTTCGTTGCAGTGTGCGGGCTTCTCATTGTGGTGGCTTCTCTTGTTGCGGAGCACAGGCTCTAGGCGTGCAGGCTTCAGTAGTTGTGGCACATGGCTCAGTAGTTGTGGCTCACAGGCCTAGTTGCTCCACGGCATGTGGGATCTTCCTGGACCAGGGCTTGAACCCGTGTCCCCTGAATAGCGGGTTTTTGAAGTTTCTCTCACTACCACCCATGGTCCTTTTCCATCCTCCAAATGAGATATCATGTCTGGTTTGGAAACTGCAAGCCCCAAGGAGACAAGATTCCTATAATTCTCTAGCATCACATCCTTGTGCAGTTTCCTCTGTGTAGGGTCCATCAACCTCCACTCTTCCAATGTGAAGTCTATAGCCACATCTTTAAATGTCACTGATTCCTTTACCAATTCTTGTTCTTCTGCCTGAAGGTGAAGATCTTCATTTGACTGGGGAACTTCAGGACTCAGAGGTCCAACTGAAAAAACCACAGCAGCCATAATCTCTTCTTCTGGGCTCCCCTCTCTGGAAAGAGTGGAGTCCTGCAAAGACATATCTGGCGGCCGCCTGAGGACAGGGCGCTCGCAGAGCAGTGCGGGAACTCTTCCAGCAATGGCGTCGGCGGCCGGGAGGCCGCGGACGGCAGTCAGAGTTAATATTAATTAATTAATTAATTAAAAATAACAGCTTTATTGAGATAGAATTCACATGCCATAAAATTCAACTTTATCAAGTATCCAGTTAATATTTATTGAGTATCCATTCATCTGTTGCATGTATCTAAATATAGGAACGATCTGAGTGGTTATGAGACAGTCTTTTAATGTTGCAGGATGGTGTCTCTAGTAGTTGGATAGCCAACGAGTCTCTTTCTTTTTTCAAACATGTGTAACACATGGATGATAATGCAATAACATTTTTCTTCTTTCTTAATACAGACACTTTGGAAATTAAGTGTGAAACTAGAAGTTCTTTCAATTTTATTCACCTTAATTAAATATTTCCCCTTATTTCAAGACGCATACCTAATTATTTACGGCTCCAATTAATTTTGACATTTCACTTGAACTTTAAAACTTTGAGTTTGTGCTATACTTACCCATGTTCCTATTCAAAACCATAAGTACCAAAATAATATTTTAGTTCTTAACACGATCTGTCAAAGTACAGCTCCAGATTTCTTATATATAGTAAATAAAGATCTTGATCTGTTTATAATTAATAATTAGAGTACATTTTTTTAAAATTTATTTTTGGCTGTGTTGGGTCTGTTGCTGCATGCGGACTTTCTCTAGTTGCGCGGAGCGGGGGCTACTCTGCGTTGCGGTGCGCGGGCTCTAGTGCATGCAGGCTTCAGTAGTTGTGGCTCACAAGCTCAGTAGTTGTGGCTCGCAGGCTCTAGAGCGCAGGCTCAGTAGTTCTGGCGCACGGGCTTAGTTGCTCCGCGGCATGTGGGATCCTCCCGGACCAGGGCTCAAACCCGTGTCACCCGCATTGGCAGGCGGATTCTTAACCACTGTGCTACCAGGGAAGTCCCTCGAGTACATTTTTAAATTAATTGAGTATTACTTTTATTTCATGCATTAGGCAAGCAGTATTTGCAAAATCAAATTATAGTGTTTGTGACTAACCCTAGCTGCATTAGTTTAACCCTTGATGATTATTTTTTAATAAGTTTCCTTATAGCAATAGCAGTTAAAATAATTTGAAAACCACTTGCAATCTCCTGAAGGGGAGTAAGCCTTCAGTAATTGGGAAGTAGTTTGTTATTTCAAATGATTTGGCCTCCTTCCCTAAAGTTAAGAAAAATTTATAGTTTCTTTTAAGTTGAAACATATTCAGTGAAGATAACTTGAAGAATAAAATGAAGTACAAAGAGAAAAACAAAATCACTCATAATTCTACCATAAATGATTATTTATATCTACCTGTGTGCATGTGCACTCTCTCGTTTATCTAGTCATTCCGCCATATATTTTAATACATTCATTTCATGCAGTCACACAATAGTAGAGACATTTTCCCATGCCAGTAAACAGTCTTCATTATGATTTTTGATCACTGATCATTTGATCATAAGAAATCCTTTTTTTTTTGTGATATTTTGATTGTTTTCAATTTGGGGCAAAGACTTTAAGAAAGATTCTTGACAAGTTCCAGAGTTAATTGTTAGAAGTGTTATTGTTGAATCAAAAGATATGCATAGTTTTCAAACCTTTTGTATTATGTTCAAATGTGATAGGGCATTTTAATACTTTCAAGCAGATCTAGCCTTATGCATTAGTAGAGTAGGTAGCAGCCTTCAGGCTGTGTTTGCAGGACTTGAGAAGGCTCCTTTTAATTCACAACTATTCTCATCTACAATTAACCCTTGAACAACTCAGGTTTGAACTGCATGGGTCTGCATATACCGGGATAGTTTTCAGTAGTAAATACTACAGTACTCTAGGGTCTGTGGTGGGTTGGATTCACACATTGGAAGGAACTTACTATAAATTATACATGGATTAACCCCCCTCTTCCTCTTGTTCTTCAAGGATCAACTGTACTTTGCAGATGGCTGAAATTTCACCATCACCTGTCACTCCTTTGTCTCCTACAGGTACTCCCAGGAGAGGTAACACATTGCGCCTGGCAGGCATTTACTCTGAACAATCTGAAGTTTATCTGATATTTTAAATTTAGTTCTTGCAAGTAAAGTTTAGAAACAAGGCAGGAAAAGGGACATTAGAGCATTGAGCAAGAGCAATAATAAGTGGAAGCAAAGTATTTCTTTACTTCATTCAGTTCTACTAAAATCAGTTGAACGACCATTATATGAAATACAGGATATTATATAGCTAGTTTTAGGAGTTTAAGTTATTATCTCTCTCAACAGTGATTCAGGCTGTTTGTTAACTTTGTATGCTAATTAATCCAGTAGAGAGACTTACGGTCCCAGATATGGAACACATATATGCCAGTAGAGATGCAAGGGGGAATTAATTAACTCCTAAGCAACCTTACTCTGTTTGAACACACTGTTTGCAAACTGTGAAATTATTTCCTTAAGAGATAGTGAGGATGCAGAGTGCGGCTTTGAGTAGTTTGCAAAGAATACTCTGTGCTGTAGGGTCTGCCTCATTAGACCAAATATTTGTATTATTGGAATGTCTCCTTGAAAAACCATTTGATAAAGAGATAATAGTGGCAAGCAAGGCCACTAGATAGATAAAAGTCATAGTGCTTGCTGCAATCTGGGAACTTTGAGCTATTGCTTCTTATCTTCTTTTAGTGGAAACTTGTGTGTCAGATGATATGGGCCAGCCTGTGCAAAACTATGGAGAATAGTAGACCTTCTAGAAATTATATACCCTTGTCTGTGTAATTCCTTTACATTACTCAATAGGCTCATTCCTAAATATCTTCAGGATATTAAAATCCCAGTCTATTATTATCAGACTGACTCTTTCTCTTATAATAGTGAGTAGCTAATGATATGCCCCTTGTGATATTTAAAAATAGTGATACAGCTCTCATTACCACGTCTATTAGCCCCAGATTTACTCAGTCCTGGTCTAAACTGGGTTTTTGGGCTTTTAAAAATTTATCAGTAACAATCCCTAGACTGTATCTAGAGATGACTTCTTAAACCACCAATAAATGTCTTAGACTACTGGCAAATCAGAAGATGCTTGAAAAATATATGGCAACTAGAAAAAGACCTGTTACAATAAATAAATAGAAGAAAACGCACTTTTAACTAATGCTACTTCTAATAAATTTCTATATTCATGTGGAACTTTGGAGATGAGAGAAGTGACACTAAATATTTTAATTGATACATCTTTATGGTTTTATTGATTTGGATCTTAAAGGACAGATTCTAATACTGGCTTCACTTCATGCTTCCTAACACCATTTAAAAAGTATGTTACTGCAGGGTGACTTTCACTGATATAAAATGAATTTTAAAATATTAAAGGTATCTAACATCAGTACTAAGGATTTCTGTTTCTGGCCCTCTGCTCCTCTATGGAAATTTCTTTTTCTTCTCCCAACTGTTTACCTGATACTATTTTGCCCCCTGATTTTGCAGTTCTTTTAAGTTGATTTCCCTCACTGATAAACAGATTGAGTTGTGAGATTATGTCCTTTTTATTTTTCACTGGAAGTGAGTAAATCCAGAACGTTGTACTTGGTGACATTTATTTCAACTCATCAAGGGAATGCCACCCATGTTTGCTTGGTTTGCTGCACTTCAAATAGGACATTGAGAATGCTTGAGTGTTAGTGTAACTTTGCTATCTTTGTTTCAGAATTAACTGAAAATGTGACATGTGCCTCCCACTTGGAGAGGGAAACTTTTCAATAATTTTTTTTTAGTTAATACGTATTAAGTTCTTAAAAGATGTTTGAGTGAGATGCACTAGTGCCAGGGTAGTTAAGAATCTGTTAGTCATTTTGTTTTAAATTTGTTTGGTGTATATATTTATAATTACCTTGCACAAGCTAGGTCTGAGTTAAAATTTGGCATAGAAGTCCATGTAGGGTAGCAAGATAATGCTTCTGTGTAATAAAAAATGTCAGTCTAATGATTAAACCGGTTGAATCCTTCCAGGTTATAGACTTGACTGTCCTTTGGTTAAATATTCTTACAGAGTCCAGTCAGGTCAGAGAAGGTAGTTGGCCATGGTATGAAACATGATTTCCAAACACCTCAGCAGGGCTGTTGGCAGAACTGTTTTCCTTAGAATGAGGTGTGTCCTTTTGAATACAATAAGATGCCACCTGTTATATTTAGATGGTGATAGAAAGTGTGCATTAAGTTCTGTCCATGAGAGTAAATAGTACTTAGTGGTAGTAAGGGGTGATTATTTGTGGTTGATAATAATAAAGGTCTTGGATGAATTAGAAAGAAATTGTCGAGGCCATTGCTAAAGGGTTTTATGTGTTTATAGACTCAATGCACATTTGTTGAACACCTTTTGTTTGCTACGTGCTGGGGGTATAGTGATAATCAAGCAGACCTGGTCAGTTTCCTCATGGAACTTAATATCCAGGGGAGGAAATAGGTATTATGTAATCACTCATGTAAATATAGTCTACAAGGGGTAAGTACTGAGAAGTACTACAGATTGTTACATCAAGGGGACCCGAACTTTGTTTGATGGTGACTGTAGCTAATTATGAAATAGACTGAGTATAGCCCTATGGCTGACCTCCTCCCCTCCCCCTCCACACCTTTCTTACTATATGAATCTTGGATATTCTCTTTTGTCCATCCTATTATCCTATCAAAAAATTGCCAGTCTAGAGCTGGGGGATGAAGGATAAGGGTTGTGAGGTGAGGGGAGGGATGATTATACAGGACTCAGGAAGAAGTCACAAAAGTTTGAGTTTTGTGATCCTAACCATTTGGTGTTCAGTTTTGTGTGACTTATACCACCGATGTCCTAGATTTACAAACTATTGGGAGTTCTTATTAAATGTAATATGCAATAAATATATCTATCATCTTATAGTGACATTTACATTCCACATGTGTATACATTTATACTGCAATATATACCATTACGTAGTAATAATTATTAAATATTGATATTCAATCCAAAAACTACAAAGACTAGGAAATGGAGGCGCCTTCTACTTAGGTCATATCAGGTGCCTGGAATGAAGCATAATGGAAAGATATGTGAATATGGGGTTAGAAACCCTGGGTTTAAACTTTGCTCTGTCACTTATTCTTTGATGCCAGTAGTCTCTATTTCTTCTTCTATAAAAGAGAAGTGATCGAACAGTGGCACCAGCCTTCCTGCCATCTATGATTCTGCGATTCACCCTGGCTTCTCCACTTAGGGGTCCATATCCGAATGGGTCAGATAGCCCTATTTTCTCCCACTGAAGCTGATTTGCAGCCCATTTCAGGAAGGTGGAAAACTTGGAGAAATGCCATCTTGAGAAAGCAAATACATTTATCTTGTTGAACTTTTATAAAATGCATAATTGTTGGCAGAAAGTACTTAAAAATGCCTTTTTTTCTTCCCTGTTGAATAAAAGCCTAATTACTAAATGTGGAATGGGATCTCCAGATTGATGGTGAGGGAATTGGTTACTCATCCTACTTCCACTTCTAGTATTAAACTAGGATGACGATAGATCAAACAATAAAAAAACGGTAGGTGATTTTCAAAATTCATGGATCTCAGAGATATTCTCTTAGGCCGTGAAACTTGCTTTGGCCTAGAATTCAGTTGCTTATGGTGTTTCTCCCACATCTTTAATCACTGTTACTTCTGTTGCATTAGTAGGTTAAGACAAACACGCATCTACATGAAAATGATTTATTCATTTCAGTAAATTCAGTGAACAGTAAGAAAAAAGAATAAGTATTTGAAAGAGAGTATAAAATGTGTTCAGGGGCTTCCCTGGTGGCGCAGTGGTTGAGAGTAAGCCTGCCGATGCAGGGGACACGGGTTCGTGCACCGGTCCGAGAAGATCCCACATTCCGCGGAGTGGCTGGGCCCGTGAGCCATGGCTGCTGAGCCTGCGCGTCCGGAGCCTGTGCTCCGCAACGGGAGAGGCCACAACAGTGAGAGGCCCGCATACCGCAAAAAACCAAAAGAACAACAAAAAAAATGTGTTCAGATATACTAGCTGCTTGATTTGGTTTAGGCTTCAGGAATAATGGGAAATCACTAGTAGCAAGTATAGTGCTGCCTGACACTGGTTTGCTCAGGACCTGTGTTCAGGTGAAAGCAGTGTTACTTCTTTAAGGGCAGAATCAACTTCCCATTTCCTCCTGATCTTCAGTTCAACTCTACAAAAAACTTAGTGACATCCACTATATAGCAGATCCTGGGATAACCCCCAGGAAAATAATGACATGATCCTCATCCTCCAAATTTTTTACAGCCCCACAGGGAAGCAGAACATGGAAATAGAGTGAAACAAGTAAAATGCTACTGTACAGAGTAGAAAAGAAGTCATGTTTAAGAGGAGTTCTGGGAAAGGCTTCTTGGAGTTGGTGATTCACATGGAGAAATTTTAAGAAAATTTCATCAGGTGAACTTGAAGAAAAGGCTGATGGAAAAGAGATAAAGGTGTGAAGTCACAGAAGTGTAAAATACACACATGTGAGTGTGAGTACTTGGTGTTACTACGATGATCCTGGGGAAGTGGGGGAAGAGGATTGAAGTTAGAGAAGGGGAAGCAAGGCTGTAGTGAAAAGAAAAGAATAGGCCAGAAAAGGAAGGTCTTAACTGCCATGTGTAGCGCCTTGGGTTTTGTCCTTAGGTGATGGAGATATGGAAGGTTTTTGAGCATGTCACTTCATGATCAGATTTGCATTTTGTAAGATTATTTGCAGCTGGATTATGGAGAATGGTGTGATGGGAACTGGATTGCATGGTAGCATGGAGACCTAGTTAAAAGGGTAATGCAATAGTTCAAATGAGTGATGAGATAATTTTCTGGTATAAAATCTCCAATTGATTCATAAATACACTGCCACATTTTAAAATGTCAGCAAATTGAAAATATTTTTAGTATTCAGTAGAACTAATTCATTGCACTTTTATAGTTTAAAATTATTCATGAAAATGATAGCAATGAAAAATTGAAAGAGGGTTAATATTTTATTTGTGGATTTAAAGCAGTACACTAAGAGAAAAATTTTCACAGTTATAATTTTGCTATTAATATGGAATATTACTTTACAAAATGTAAGGTAATGAATTTGTTTTATATATATATACATATATATACATCTAGTTGTTTGTGGAAATTATGCATATTTGAAAACAAGTGAATGATGTCATACTGTCGGTACATGTAGGTATTTGTCGAATTTGCATTTGATACTGAACTGATAGTTATAACGAAGACTTTGTATTAATTCAAGTCATGGTATAAGTGATGGATATTTTTAAGCAGAAAGTTAAATCCCAAATCGAGAAAGAATGAAAATATTTGTCAGGGAAAATTAAATAGCCATATATGCATATATGACTGTAGTTTTAAAAAGAGCACGTGTTAAAAGGTCATTGCAAATCATATATTTGGAACAGCACATTTGAAAATAGCTTTAAATTGTCTCACAAATAGTGTGGCATATAAGTCTTCTTACCAAATCTTGGTTTTGGTGCATAAGTCCTCACTTCTTAGTTATCACAGCAGGAAACAAAAGTCAGAGTTGATGAAATTAGAATATCCATAGCCTTGTGGGGGAATAGAATATTACAGTGCTACATCTTTTTCAGTATGAATCCAAGATTAAAAAAAAAATGTTGCTATTTAAGTACACAGTAGTATACAAGTTATCATAAATGTTAGGTTGTATGCCCCATAATCAAATGGAATAATGATCAGTTTCTGTTGTATGTTATCTTCAATTCAAATTAATGCTCAGGAATTCAATTTCATGCCTTACTATTGGTCAGACTTTCTTTATTTGTGTATAATATTGTGAATGCCTGTAGTTTTAGGATTGCAAGTTTATTGCACTGCATTCAATGTTAGATTATTTATCAGTCTTCAGAGATTACATTGAAGCTTTAGGGGTTAGGATGTATTTGCTATACATGATTTTTATGAAATTTTTTATAATAACTTTTTCATAGGATCTGTTTATCCTTGTCTCTTTTTCCCCCCATGTCATAATAGAATGTATTTTAGTACTTTGAAGAAACTTTTTCAGCAAAATATATTTTTACTACACATTTACCCTTAATAGGTTCTGTTAGGGGAATCAATGACAACATGTTTCAAAGCAGAAATCTTTTCATGCTTGGTTTTTTTTTTTGTTTAATGAGATTTCAGGTATATTTTAACAACTGGGGTTTCCCTGATGAATCATTAAAATAAGTGAGTGGGCTGGAAGGTAATACGAACTTTTCTCAGTACTGCCCTGTTTTACTCTGCTGGGTTATTGGTTGCTTTTTAAGTAGAACCTGGGTGTGTTGGAGTTGGTGGTTGGAGGTTCAGAAGGGAAGAGGGGAAAGGGTCAGTTAGGAAATACTAGGTAAACCTCTGATGACCTATCGGGAAATCCTACTCAAATTCTGCTTTCCTCAATTTACACCATTTTGTGTTTAAGCTTTCTGTTTTTGCTCTGCCAAGCTCAACTTTCCAAGTACTGTATATAGGCAAATAGAAAATATATTTTCAGCAATTGATTGAAGTTTAAGGTATCAAGCCATGTGTGGATTAGCCTGTGAAATCAATTTCTCATGTGTGTGGGATTAAAATCGTTAAAACCATCATCACTGAAACCATACCTTCCTACAACTAATAGCAGTAAGGTGTCTGTGGAATATATTAATACAACACGTCCTCTAATTTAAAATTATTACTTGGTATTTGGTTGGAAAATTATTTGAATATTATAGGTAACTGCATTGACATCATATATGAGGGCTAATTATGGGTTTCTAATGTAACTTAGCTTTAGTTTTTAAAAATCCACATGAGATATTTATACTTAGCACATCTTTTTCAATAAATCAGTGGCATATGGCAAATTTCCTTTAGCTATACTGTTTAAAAACAAAAAACTGAACTACCACAGCAGTTATAACTGCTGGAGGAGGTAGACAGAAATGTAGTTCACCTTGAAAATGATCATGGCTCAAGGAATAAAGAAACTGGGTCAAGCTTAAAATAAATGCAGGTACGATGACAAAAGTTTTAATATAAATTTAAAAATATTCACAGCATTGGTTTCAGGCTACTTTTGTTCTTGGTGATCTTATCAATAATGCATTACTCATTTTTAATTGAGATGACTCTAATGGCATCTTTTCATTTTGGTCAAAATATTTATATGAAATACTATTGTGATTTTTCACCTTATATTCCCTCTTAATTGTAAATGTACATTTTTGGAAGGCAGATAATTCTCCAATAGATCATTTTGACCTCTGGTAATCTTAAATAGAACTTGAAGTGGTTTAACATTCCTGTGTCCTAGCTATCACTTTGACTCTTCTTATATTGCTAAATTAATGTTTAGCATTTAACCACGTATCATTAAATCATAGTATTGATAATGAATTAAACTTTCATAAAGCTTTAATAGTGTAGCAGGTTCTCATTCATTGGTGTCACTGGGGAATAAAAAATGCTGAAGAAATGAGGTTTTTTAAAACTAAAGCTTACTTGTTTAAGCAGAAAAACTTAAAAGCTGATAAAAATTTATCTGAAACATTTTTTATGCTCTTTTAGGGAGTTTGAATGGATTGGCCATTTACTCGTAAAATATCATCATTCTAGTGTCATGTAGAAAGGACGTGGGCTTTCTGTTTGGTGTTTATTCTCCAACGTGGGAAGTTTTGTTTGTTTGTTTCTTCCTTTTAAAATGCCATACCCCTAATTCTAATATACTTACTCCGTTTAATTGTTTCAGGGCTTAAGGTCTGTGGTGGTACATGTGCTAATGCCTTAACAGATTCATAAATCCAGGCACCTATGTAAGACATGTGGCTGCATGTAGGCTCACCCAGCATCTTTTGGCAAACACCTGGCCGCAGCTTCCTGCCACGGAGGAGACCCTGTCCTTCTCTGGAGTGAGGACTTTCAGTGTTGAGGCCCTGTTACTGCTGCTCCAAAACACTCACTCTCCAGTAGCCATTGCTAGTGGTGCAAAATGTCTGTATTTACCTGGCGTGCTCCTGAGAATCTATTATGTCAGGTGACCATCTTCAGTTTTCTGGGATTACTGCTAAAATGGGCAAATGGTGTACTCCCTTTATCTTTTAGTAAATTCCAGCGTAACAGCAAAAATCCTTTTTAACACAGTGTCTTTTTTTTTTTTTCCCAACTCCTGCTCATGTTTCCAGCAGTGTTTTCTAAAACAAAGCTCAATGAAGCACAGTGAAAGTATTATTTGAGCAGTTCTTTAATGTGCTGTAATGACATTTGGTTTGAATCTTATATTTAAAAATCAGGTTCCCCTCTTTTGCTTGCACCTAGTGGGAATCATCTTTCTTCCAGGTTGTGCTTAAAGAAGACTATAGGGGAAGAACAAAATTTCTTCTTGCTGCAAAAGTTGCAGTAGAAGTAAAAGGGGGAACTGCCAGGATATGTCTGTCTCCACAAAACAAGCAGAACGAATTTCCATGAATCAAAGCCACTAAGTATAGTTTTCAGAGGTGGTAGGACATAGTTACTTTCCCTAGAAAAATACCCCAAATGCAGGCACACCCGTTGGCCACTAGAAGAATGCTCAAGTAAACGCTAGTTCAAACCTGTACATTTCACTCTTCTTACTGAGCTATTAAAGGGGTGGAAATCTAGTATAACTATAATCTTTTTTCCGCTTTTCTATTTTTCAACCTCCCACACGCTTGGTGTTCAGTTCTGCTTAGTGAGTGTCTTGAATCTACAGCAGCACCTACACGTACTGCCTCCACAGTGGCTGATAGTTTGCAGATAACTCATGATTCAGACCCATAAGAAACATCTGTAACTATAGGGCATGGTACGTGCTCTAGATTAATCATGGAAAAGGGCAGAGCAATGAAGAATCAGAAAGCTTGTTTTTTTCCAAATATTAATGTTGCTTTGTTTGAGGTTATATATGAGTGGAATATTCTCTAGAGTGGTTTATATCACATTCCATCACTTGGGGAAATATCTCAGGTCATTTTTATAAGAACCTTTTAGAGACCTTTTAAGCATATACACGGCATATACACCTTAGTGTGGTTAGGTCAGAGGAAATAAAGCAAGATAGCAGATATCTGTCATGTGATGCAGTAAGCAAATTAGTGTTAAACTGCTTTTATTTTTTCTTGAAACCTTTGATATAATTTTCAAAATTGCCTTTCACTAGTTTTTCATTTGCTTTCTAGAAGTTTCCTTCATTTGAAGGGTTACTGGCTACCATTTTGTTAAACCTGGAGGCTGTTTTGTTAACTTACTGAATACAGCATTATAAAGTTGAAGTCACCAGCCAGCCTGGAAAAATCGAGCTGCACAGCACAGTCTCTGAGCTTACTTCTTGCGCACAAAATCTGCAGTACTCTCAAATTTGTATTTGAAATACAGTCTGCTGATGGGGAATGGGTAACACCCACTGCCTTTCAAATGCATGTGTATATCTACTTTTCCTACCTTTCCTTGGTGAATAAGGAGCTGTGTTTGAAAAGAACTGATTTTAAAATGCTGGAGGATTCTATCTTTACTCCTTAAGTAAGGTGGTTTATCCTAATAATGGGAGGGGCAAAATACCTTATTTCTGTTTGTCAGCTGCTATGCTTCAATTTTATCTTCACATCACACCTCTGAGGTTAGTGCTTTTATCCCCATTTTAGAGGAGGTGAGACTAAGTCCTACAATGTTAGGTAGCTTGTCCAAGGCCCTACAGCTAGGACATGACAGAGCTGAGCTTCAAACCTGTATCTCCCTGACCCCAGGACTCATACTTTTTCCACCTGAGGAGCACTGCTTCCTATTTTACAGATAAGTGAAGTATGTGTTTGTATCTTTTCCCCAAAAATGCTTATTGGAAGATTTAAGACATCAAGAAATAAGCTTTTTTCACTTCAGTCATTTCTTTGAGAACCGTTTGAGACATTTTGCTTTGAAAGGCAATTTAAGCAGGCATTGCTTTGACTGAGCAAGGTAAAGCACAGTTTTCTTAGTTAGGAGCATCACTGAGTTTTTGAGACTAATAATTTTGTGGAACACCATTATTAAGGAAAGCAATATGCTTGCTGAACGAGTGGTGTTTACTTAAGTCATAAAGGAGAATTCAAACATCTGGAATATTTTTAAACGATGTAGTTGTTATGTACCAAGTGATATTTCTTATTTACTTCTTACAGGAAATAGCATATAATTTGAAATATATAAAAGTTTTTACATTCATAGATATATTTTTATCTCACTGAGCACTTCAACAAAAGTGATACTATTAAAGTAAAAAGTTGCTTGACAGCCGATTCTCTGTGGTGACAGTTTTACCACATCTTTAATAGTAATGTTACTTTATCGCTCTTAATGCCTTTGTTGTTTAAAGTAAGGTTGTAGAAACTTTGCTGGTTCACAAGCATACAGCTTTACCCTACTTTTTCGGTCTTCCTTTGGGGGTGGGATATTGACAATACTGAGGAAGTGGTCAAGCGTCTCAAGAAATTGTATCCTAAAGATTTTTAACACTAGAGAATAGAGATTTGAATATGAGTGTGCTGTCTTCTAAATATGGATTCGTTGGAGGCATTGGTAGCTGATGAATTTAAAGATGGATTAATATGAGAGTTCCAGAATCAGAGAATTCCTGAACTGGAAAGGCCCATGCAAATGAAGGGCTCTTGGAGTGAAAGTGTTAGTTAGGACAGGAGTTCAGTGACTGTCCAAGTCTAGATAGAGCTCTAGGCCAAGCCAGTGCTGAGGTTACTGAGTCAGGGTCATAGCCGTTCCAGCCAGGAAGTGAGTGATCACAGCGGGAGAGAACTTTAAACTTCCTGGGTAGGGGAAAAAACTGAGTCATTGTGGAAGTAATCTTAAGACATGAAAAAACAGAAATCAGAAAAATAAAGCATCTTTATTTCCTCTTATTAACATGAATAGTATAAAAATATTGATTCCAAAGTACAAACCTCAAGTGTTATATACTTTTTAAAAAAGCAGGACAAACCTATTTAAAAAAGTAATTTGTCTGTAAACGACTTTATTTGCTTTCTGTGTATAATATTTTAACATATTTATTTGAAAATATTTATACAATTTTTTTTTTGCTTAATATCTAGAATCTGTGAAGATTTGAAAGGGCCAATGAGTATTCTCATCATTGAGGCATTCTATGGAGGGTCCCATAAACAGCTGGTGGATCTGCTTCAAGAAGAGTTAGAACACTGTGTTCTTTATACCCTTCCTGCAAAGAAATGGCACTGGAGAGCACGGACGTCGGCTTTGTACTTCTCTCAGAATATTCCTGCCAGTGAGCATTACAGGTAATTAGAGCCCAGGCTGCGTCTCCAGCCTGTTTTAAATGTACTTGTTCTAAGGAGGTTGCTTCTCTGTTGGCCTCTGTGAGATTTCCTTCAACTATGGAATTGGTCAGAATGACTACAGTAGCTATTCCTTTAGCGACAACAGAGCAGCCGACTACATTTGTACTCTGAGGACACCTGGTCGGTAGGAAAGTGGATTCATTTAGAGCCTGCATGCCTTTTCTCATTTGTCTTGTGCTTTTATCACATGCACGTGTGGGTGTATGATGACATTTTTTGGCCTGAGATGAGAGTTGATCCTGTGCACATTTGGTTTTTGCTTCCATAACCTCCCATGCCTCTTTTAGTGAGTATGCTGTTTTAGGGTGTCTGCTCTGTACTGGGAGCTAATGTTGGAAAGATGGATATGACCAAGGCCTGTGCCCTTACAGGCTTTAAAGACTATTCAGAGATGAGTAGTTTTTAAAGTGTCATGAGAGTATGAAAAGGGGAGAAGTTGATTTTGACTGTGACAAATTGGAGGTCGCTTTGTAGAGTTGGTCAACTTTGCTTTGTCTGGAAGGATGAATAGATTTGGGGGACACAGGCCTCAGTTTTGAATTTTGAATTGTTAGGAAGTGGGAACTAGGGGGACCTGTTAGAAGGGCTTACGAGACACACTGAAAAGTGTGGATGGGAAATACCGATTCCATTTTAAGGAAACAGTAGAATGGAATCCTCCTGAATATCCTTACTGCCATATGTCTCCTGATGGTTAAATAGTGGAAGATTATCCTACTGTGGTTTACATATCCGATGTTCTTACCGTTCTGGGCCCTTCTGTGTAGGACTGCATTGGTGGTGGCAGGAGTCGGGAGGGCCAGACTGATAATGAATGGAGTTTGAGCAGCTAGGTTGTTAGAGAAAGGGCACGTTGCAAGCTGCAGTGCTCACCTTGGCGTCAGCAGCCATTTCCATCTGCTGCTGCTTGTAAGGTAGGGCAGAGACAAGGGAGAGAGCAGCTTGAGATTTAAATGTAGGTTGCTGTTCTTAGTAGTAATTTTGGGGATTCAGAAAATAACCCATTTGGTGTATAAAAGCCATGCATCGCCTCTGAGAATTCAGATTGTCAGATGGAACAGCAGTGAGCACTCAAGTCATGTTGCTTGGGATTATAAAGGTAAAAGCTGTTTGGGGGCATATTGAGAATTTTGTATTTTTCTAATCTAAAGTGTATTTTTCCTTACATAATTTAATGTTTTATATTCTGATAATCACCAAGTGAGTATTGTGGATTCACTAGTAGTATTAGAAATTTCAGTGCATGTATCAATACAAAAGTTTTCAAGGCAATGACAAGTGAGTCGTTGCCTTGAAACAGTGCTAAACAGGATTTTAGCACTGTTGCTGTGCTAAAATTGATTGTTTATAGTTGCTTTCACATCTCATTTAATTGTGTTTTCTCAGCACCAATTGCATTATATTACTTAAGGTCAAGGAATCCAGTTGGCTTTATGGCACATTTTCATTTAACATTACCATTTGATATAATACATTCATACATACCAAATGATATAATACATTTCTACAATGATTTGAGCATTGAAACAAACCATTTCTGTATCTGCTGTTAGATTTCATTTTGATTACGCAGTGTTTTGGAATGGAATTTTTGTATCACAAATATATGTGTGTGGATAGCATGCAAACAAACACTTCTGTGCCCGTGGCTTCCCCACTCCGTTTGAGGTCTGAAGCATTTGAGGTAAAACATCACATTGCTTTTTGAAGCAGTCTTATTTGGGAGGTAGATTTCTGAAAGATGGTGTCATAAAATATAAAGTTTTACTCTCTGATAGCCATAACCTCCAGGTCCTAACAGTGGTATCTGTGATCTTTCAAACTCAGCCATTTAAGCTGCAGTTAATGGTACTTATTAATCTAATCAGACTTCACTAAAACATATACCTCACCAGTCTAACTTACACTTATATTTGACTAACGATAACTTATCTACTCTTTACCAAATAACCTTTCTGAATACTTTTAGAAAAAACAGCAGCAGCTTGAAAACTTATATGCGAAGTTAAAAAATATGCTCACTCAACCCTAGATAGAAGTGCAAGAATGACGTTTTGTTACACCAGATAATTCTGATCCCTGTGGAGACTTTTAAAGATATGAAAAGTTCTTGATTTCTATTTACTTACTCTATTTGTACATTTGTCAAATGAAATCACCAAAATTCATAAAGATAAAATGATTAAGCACCAATATTGCATGCCATGCAAAAACTACTCTGAACTAGTAGGACTGTGTCTGATAAGAAAGACCTTGAATGTAGGTACACAGGTTATTTTTTTTCAACATCTGTACACATAGTCATTGTTTTTATAAGCTTGTTATCTGGGTAATATTTTATTACTAAAAGAATAAATGCTCCAGTCTAATTAATCAGCTTGATTCTGCTTTATCTTGACAGTGAAAAGAATACATCATGATTCACATTTAGAGCTGTTTAATTTTTATTATAGATTACAAAAGCTCCACAATTTATTTTTCTCAAAAGTAGTTTGGTAATTATTAGGTTTTATTAAAGCCTTGCCTTCTGGAAACTTCACAAAATGCAGAAAAATGTTTCTGAGGATGGGCCTCAAATTTCATGTTCTGAAATGTATGAGTCATTTGTCCCAGCATCAAGCATTTCTACTTTCTTAAAATATACCTAGAGTAGGCATCAAAGATATTTCGTTCTTCTTTCTTTCTGCAATATCTTTACTGAACTGAAAGAATCGCTCTTACTTAAAATCATTTTTTTCACTCTCAGATGCTTACAGTTATATTTTCATTCCATCTGAGGTATTGTGGCAGATACTGATCATTGCCCACGTAACAGCCCTTCTTCCTTGTTAACAGAATTAGTTTTCTTTGGCGTGGCTAAGTACCCAGCCCCTGGGAGTGAAGCTTGATGGACTTAAGTCGGTCATGATGATTCCGTTCTCTGCCAGATTTTCCCAGTTTTCCTTGAAGCTAGTGCTGGATTCTGGCAAATTCAGTTTAAGTAGATTACTTCTGGGGGTTCTTCCAACTAAGTTTTTTTTAATTTTATTTTGTGCTTTACTTATAAAAAGAGAAAGCCATCTCCCCTTCTCTGCATTTCACTGTGGTTATGATGTCTACAATTAGCAGATGACAAGATGAGGACAAAACACCTGAGCTGCCATAAATGGCTGATGAAAGGCTGGAACGCTATAGCTACCTAGTACCCTGAAAACCCTCTGTCCCTAAAACATCTAGCTATGTTTTGTAAAACGTAATAAATTTCGTTTTAAGTTCATAGCCGAGCAGAGTAAGAGAGGATCTGGAGAGGGATTTGGAAATTAGAGTGGTCACCTTGCTTTGAAGCCGTGGCTGCGTAGTTTTCACAAAGGGGACTGGTTAACTGAGTTATGTTACATTCTTGAAATGAAATACTGTGCAGCATTAACCTGAATTAGGAAGCTTTCTGTGTCCTCTTATTGGAATCTCTCCAAGACAAGTGACCAAAAGTAAGGTGCCAGAGAGTGTTATTGGTGCCATCTTTGGTGCCAAGAAAGGAGGTTATAAGAACGAAACAATGAAAGAGTGCATTGGAAATGAATGAAGATACTTGCCTGGGGATTAGCGTAGCAGAGGTTGTTGGTGCCCCACCCATATCCCTCTCACCTTTCTCTTGTTGTGTGCCCTGGCCAGCTTCCTGCTGTCAGTCTCTGCAGCCCTTTTTGCCTGGGGGAGTAGCTGCTCTGCCAGTGCAGGCAGCAGGCGCCAGTAGCCCTCTGCCAGTGATCTCCGCCCCCTCAGATGAAATCATTCTGAAGTGTGAACAGGAGAGAAATCATTAACAAAGATTCCTCAAAAACCCTGTAAGTCAGGAAATAAAAGCATAATTCTAAATAATTCATGGGTCACAGAAGAAATTATAACGGATACTAAAAAATAGAACTGAGTCATAGTCAACATACTGCATATCACAACGTGGGTTGCATCTAAATTGACAGTCGCAGCCACATCATCTTTAATAAATTTATTTTTATTATTGTCTTTTTAAATTGTGATATGCAGTGCCTTTTAAAGCTTGGCCCAGGGCAGGGCTCCTCTTACTTTAATCTAGGAGGAATACTGGGAAGGAAACAATAAAAAGAGTAAAAAATAGTGAAATTGAAAGCATATATATGTGTGTGTGTGTGTGTGTGTGTGTGTGTGTGTGTGTGTGTGTGTGTGTGTGTGTGTGTGTATATAATGAAGATGAACAAACTAAAATTAGTGATTTTGAAATAATAAAACAGATATAAATCCAGGCATGCTTTATTTATTTTTTTAAGGCACAATTCATTTTTGGAGTGAAAAAAGTATAACTACAGATATGACACAGATCAATAGAAAGGAGGAAATACTGTTAATAATTTTATGTTAATACATTTGCAAACTTAGACAATATGGATAATTTCTTAGAAAAACATAACTTCTAACACCTCACTCAAAATGAAGTAGAAAATCTGAATGGGACTATAATCATTAAAGTTGTTGTTACATTAACTAAAAATCTCGCCATTAATAGACAGAGGCTGGGTCCTCGTGCAGGTTGGTTTACACCAGTTCTTCTCTGTCTCTTTCCAGACTTGCGTTACATGAGATCAAGTGTCTAGTTTTTTAGGTTTTCTGTTTCTTGTAGCCATACTAGTCCTAATTGGTGTTGATTATGATTATGATATCTCCCTTCCCTACTCCCAACCCTTGACCTTTTTTTTTTTTTTTAAATATCTAAGGAGGGGCAAGGAAAGCAAATAGTTGGATAGAAAATAAATTGAATGAAAAGTTCAGTTGGGTCAAGTAATGTATAAAGTGAAATTCAAGCTTAAGGTGATATTTGATTGTTGATAATTCTGTTATGATTTGCCATTTTCTTAAATGGTACCTTGACTGTGTCTTTTCATTAAGCAGATTCTCTTTCAGGGAAGCTGTGATTTATTTATTTATTTTTG